TAGTAGTACGGCCAGGAGCCCCTAGAAGCTTCTTGTTCCTAGTAGCGATGCTAGGAGCCCCTAGTAGCGTCCTTGCTCCTAGTTGACGATCCCTTTCGATCCATTTCGATCCATTTCGATCCCTTTCGGCTTAGACCGACTGACCGACTGACTCCTTCGGCCACACCGGTGTGGACTCGTGCGTCAGGACGAGCTGATACGGCAGTGTCGGGGTCTGAGGGAAACCACGCAAAACCCTCAAATTCCGACGAAACAAATCGACGATGGCCGAAATTCTTGCTGACTTTGCCGGACCGCCGCCACAATTGACCTTCAATGCAAGGCAAAGCCCGTGGCTTGTGGCATGGGATGGAGCCCTCACCTCAGTCCCAAAGCTTAACAGACTGTATATAGGTGCGTCGAACCAAATGCTGAGGGGATCTGAGGGGTCCCCAGCAACTAGCACATACTAGCACCATTCAGCAAACTTGCTGCTGGCCCAGTGCGTCTTGTGGTTTAGTAACCAGTAACTAGTACCTGAAGGGCAGATCAGCTATTTTCCCTCCACCAGATTCGCTCTTCAATTTCCATAGAATTGATGAATTGATGCTGAAGGATCCACCATCTACTCCCCAACTTCCAAGGTCGAGGGGCAAAGGTTTTTATGTCCCTTTGGCTGCAGCCGGACGGGCCGCATACTGTACCACGAAGGAGTTTGATTCAGAAGGGATAGAGAGAGGGAGAGAGAGAGAGAATTCAAGTGAGATTGGGGAGGACACTGCATAATGATTGGAACGACATTTGTTCATTTCAGACGGCGCTTGAGGCCTTGCTTCTCAAGCTGGATAGCCGAAGGGAGTACCTACAGAGCCTTCAGGCATACCGGCTAGTCACGGGTGAGTGACAAAATGGGAGTGGCTACAGGTATAATGACGTCCTCACCAGAGCCAAGCAATGATAGTGTATCAGATGACGTCACAAATTCTGGAGTTGTGGAATGTTCCACGAGGCCACCTCTAGTAGGTTGGAGGCCATCGCTTCTATAGAGGTTGTGTTGTGTTGCTCAAAAGAAAGATGACCTGACATTTCAGCCGTCGGCTTGAGGCCTTCGGGTGAGAGTGCTGCAAGTGCCTGCGCAAAAGAAAACGGTTTTGGGGTGGCTTCTGGTGGACTGGCTGTGATGGAAGGTTCACAGTCCCTCATTCCCGAGGTGTCATTTTGTTGTTTTGTGACCGGAGCTTGCGCTGGCTTACACATTATGTGGTAGTGTGGTTCAAAGTCAGTTTCCACGACTTCATCTCTCGACGACGACTACAAGTTCAGGCAAACATCGACCCGGAGGAGTTGATGTCCATGCAGAATGACACAGCTGCAGAAAGACTGCAGTGGCATCCTGGTGTTTTGTTACGCAGCCCAATGTGGCTTGAGTCTCGTGGCCTTTAGCCTTCGGCCGCCCCGTTTGAATGGCCAGCCATGGTCCTGGCGTTCTTGTTGTTGGGTCTTTTGCTTGCTGGGGGCTCTGCAGGTTCAGCATGTCACCATGAAGATCATGAATGTTTGCAGCGAGAAAAGGACGAGGCCATGAGAAACAGATGATATGAGTTGTACAGTATACATTAACGCAGGGAGAGGGAGAGATCAGATCCACGAAGCTGGGTGGGTTGTACATGTTCTCCATTTTTCTGAATCCAAATTTGTCTTTGGCAAACGGTGCAAGCAAACGGTGCACGTGACTGAAGATTACGGGAACCTTGGTGTTTAATGCAGTCTATGACATAGATGGAAGAATGATCTTTGTAACACATGACCATGTGGGTTGGTATCAAAACATCGGGATCATCGGCCTCTCCTTCTCACCCTTTCTGTTGCCTGTCTTCTCGCAGCAACCAGGCCATCCTGCTGCAACGTCTGCGGCGAACGATGCCAACGGCACCACCGACACTGGCACTGGCACTCGAGGGTGGTGGCTTCAAGCAGCAGGCGGCCCTGGCAGGGCTTTTCCCAGCTCTGCTCAATGCTGGACACTTCACACCTGAGGAGCTGATGAGCGCCTGGGCTCGTGGAGGGGATGGAAGACTTGTAGCAAAGGGCATTTCTACGAACAAAGGATGCTACGTTCGGGGCTCCTGGCCTTACTACTAGTAGATTCTTGCTACTAGTAACAAGGGCATCGCTCCTAGGAACAAAGGGCATCGGCCCAAGCTCTATATAGACTCTAGACACATCTAGACACCATGACACAATAGTAAGAAGTGTGGACAGATGTCACCTTTCAAGTGGAGAACAATCTACCTTTGTTTGGGGGGCTGTTATGTGCATCGCTGATGGGGAAGAGGAGTCTTCAGCTTTTATTTGCTTCTTGTGAATCTCGAGATAAACTTTCCGAAAGGCGACACGCGAGCCAAGGTGCTGTGAACGTAATTGCTACCTCCAGCGGTGGAGCTTGGCTCTTCGCACATACCGGGGTAGTGTTTGGGCAGCTGGGTTTTGTGACTCCGGGAGGTCAACAGCTATGGAACCAGCGTGAATCACCCAAAGTCCGTGTGTGTGTGTGTGTGTGTCCAACCCTGGACAAAGGGTCTTTCACCACCACTCTTTCCACTTTACCCAGGCAGGGGGCTCACGGGTCTGTTCCTGGCGTGAGCCAACGAAGCTCCAGGTTCAGACTAGGATATCGAAAGAGGACGCTCTTTCGACGTACCTGCCACCTCAACTTTTGACAAAGCTGTCTAATCTGCTCGGTTTGTTTCCATGGTTTTTCATGATACCCTCCCCTAAACCTGTTCCTCCCCAGCATTAGCGCCGCTTGCCGCCGCCTCGCTGCTTTCGTTACAACAATGTTCAACCTTTCAAGTGCTCGGACCTATGCACCTTTCTGTTCTCTCACCTTCCTTCCCACGTGACTTGCGCTAACTGAAAACCAATGTCAAAGTGTGTTCTGCTCAGCCGTCCCACTCGGGTGCTGAGTGTGATCCCCGTCACTGGGGCGCCGATTTTGCATGGGAAAGCAACCACCCCAACGCACCACCGCTCACTGGACCCTCACTGGAAGGCACCGACACCCTCACAGAATCAACCGCCACAACGGCCGCCGGGCCAAAAAACGGTTTTTGAAGAATGTTTCAGATTCCAACATTCAGCATTCATTTCTCTTTTCATGTGCATGTTTTTATGCGTGCCATGTTGCTGCCGCGATTCTTTCATCGACAGCACTCAAGGATGGGCATTACAGCTCTTCAACTTAATTCGAGATGCATGAACACACACCTACCAACAAGCTCACATCTTGCACCACTTTACAACATACTCACCATGGACATCAGAGATGACACCTTCAACGACAACAAGACAATACAACTCGACACTTCCCCGCTGCTTTTTGCTACCGCGCCGCGCCGCGCCATAGCTACGACCACGACATGCATTTTCCGTGGCCCTACGCTCACGCCACGCCACCACCATTGCCTACCACACAACCTCAACCCACATGGCCGATGCCACAACCTTCAACTGCACCCACATTTCCCCCGACACAACCATCGGCATACCCTCATCCACAACCACAACCATTTCAACCACCACCGTTTTTGTCCAACCCTACCGCCACTGCACTGACCTACGGCACACCATCCACTTGGACTTTTGTCCAACCATGTCACGTGCCACCGCAACCCACACATCCAACTCAGGTTTTTCCGACAGCAGCACCTCCCCCGTCCTACCTGTTGCCACCACATCATCCCACACCACCGGCTGAACTCCCTCCCACCACTACACTGACACATCCCCCTCCAACACAGCAACAGACTGCGATTGCCAATCATCCATCCACAGACCCCCAATGCGCCATCCCCCAGGGCGTTTGGCAACCCTATTCAGCTTTTCCCCCCGTCACACAGCCGTTGCCCCCGCCACCGCCTCCACAAACCATCAACACCTCAACACCCACCCAACCTCCACTTCAACAACAGCCACCATCGGATCCAACACCACCAATCCAACCCATCCCTACGACTGCCCAGGACAATCCATTACCAGTCCAAAACACACCCCCACCAGCTACCGTATCACAACATTCAGCATCCCCCTCGCTGGTATCCGCCACACCAGCGCCTGGATCTTCACTACCAGCACCAGACAAACCTGACACCACTGCCTCACCAGCACCGCAACCACCTTCCCCGCAACCACCACGCAGCAGTCGCCGCCACCACCACAAGAGCCGACGCAAGTCCGACCATCACCACAGAGGACGCCACCGCCACCACCGCCGACATCACCATCACCGCCGCTCCAAACATCACAGCGCAACCCGGCGACGGCGGTCGCCTTCAACATCCACTTACACATCCAGCCTTACGCCATCCCGCAGTCGCTCACCACCACAACCCATTGATCTACGCCCCAACACCGAACACTCCAACCCGGACCCCTCTCAATTTCCCACCACAGCCGTCCTCCGTCGCCCAATCAACCGTTGGCGACCTCCACCAAACTTTCACACCTTTACACCTGCAGACCAAATCTTGGAATGGCTCGAATTCCATGCCACCCAACTCGATAACCCCAACCGACCACAGCACCAGTACATTGCCAATATCCTCATAGACTGCAACATCACCTACAAGGAGATCACCGATTTCCGACAATATACCCACGCTAAGTGGAACGATACAACCCACCAATACGACCAATTCCAGTACTACGCCATTTCACTTCCCTTCCTCAACACCAAAGCCACTACACCAGAACCACCTGCGGTTTCCCGCGCCACATCCACCCACCGGGAAGTCGCCCACATCAACGCAGGCCACACAGGCCCCGTCGGCAACATTTCCAACATTCTACGCCAAGGCCGATTTTTACCCAGCGCACTCCACTTTGCCAACTACCCTGGATTTTTTGCCCAGGGCGTTCGCATCACCCACAACCAACCCCATGACCACAACGAACTTGCCCGCATCATCCGCAACACCTGGCAACTCCACAAGAATTCCCATTCCCTTATCATCACACTCCTTGCTTGGGGTGCCGCCACAAAATATACCTCGGGAGGTGAGGAACACGCCATGAACCTCCTTAACGACCACCATGGTGCCGCTGCTGGGTGATCCACCCGGACCACGCCATTGTCAAAGGACTGGCCTGGTCCACCAACTCCACTCCACCAGACCCATAACACCACTACCACACATCTACACACCACTACGACCTCCACATCCACTTTCGGTCTCACACCACCACCCAACCTTTGCTGTAGCAGCAAAAAGAGCCTCCTGCAGCGGCCACGCGAATTTTGAACTCTCATTTTTCCAGCTATGCAGTGTTTGCTGCCAACATTTTCTTCGAATTGTACCGGCTGTTTTGATGGAGTATTTCACATGTCAGATTCTGCATCTTGGAGAGAGATACATTGAGTCATGTACTTAATTGTCCAACCGGCGTTGCATATTCGCACTTTTGCCTGTGGGAATTTGATGCTCGCTTAATTCATATGCACGGCCTCGTGATGACGCGCTCCCTCAGACTCGCCGCTGTCCGGCTGCTTTGGCGCGCTGCCGCAGCAACCTGTGACGATTCTTAGCTACTGTACACCCCTACATCTCAGAATCATGAGCAGCGCACCGACACCAGTAAAAAACGACACCTCAACTCTCATACACAGAACCGCAGTGGCACTGTCGCAGGTGCAAAACCTGCTCCGACAAGCAACAGATATGGTAGCACACCTCCACACTGTTTTCCTCCACCACAGCCAACAAGCGGACCCCGCTTTCCGCCAACACTTTCAGCCACTTCCCACTCCGCCCAACCACCCTATACGTTTACCATCCACCACTTCTTCCTGTGACTCAGCACCATCCAGACCACCCATCCGTTTACCAGCACCACCCTTAAAAGACTCAGACGACACTCCAACAACATCCCCAGATCCACAACCCACCACCACACGCAAGCGGAAGCAACCACCCCCACCACCACTGAACCGACAGGCGGACTGGGATGCTTGGGATGGCGACGCTGACTGTCGCTTGGTCGAACTCAAAGAAAACCCCAAACTTCGTCCCAACTGGACCACCGTGGCCCGCCGAGTGGGCTTCTCCGTCGAGCAATGCAAAGCCCGATGGCAAGA